ATAGAATAACATTAAAAGAATAAAATGTACGTGAAAACGCAAGGAAAAAAGTCTACACACAATATATTGTTCTTTGAAAGCACGCAAAACAGAAAATGAAATACGAAAATTGACCGATTCCTAGTTCCGATTCGCTCGCATGCTGATGAAGACACCTTTCTCTTCCAAATCTCCTTAACTTTCCGAAAAAAGTGCAATTCTTGTTCGCAACTTTATGATGGCGTCCGTTGAAAGATCCTCTAGCTGGCATCCGCTGTTCCCACCTCAGTTGTTTCATCTACGTCACACAACTTCGATCGCGTTGGACGTCAGAGGTTTCTCGCTACGCGAAGAGTACAATGGCGGAGCTTCCACGAATTCAAATATTTGCATATTTAACTTTCTAGTGCAGTATCGACTACATCCACTTTATTTCTCAGTACGAAAACGCACGAATTACATCTGCACGCAGATAGAAGATAGCATGCAGTGGTTTTGAAAAACGAGATGTGAAATATGTTTGAAGCTTATTTGGCAAAATTAGATTATCCTATTTAACGCTTTCATATGACTGATGTTATACATTTTTTATAGCAATAGCAAAAAATGACGGCACTCAGAATTAAACCCTGGGGAACATCATTTTCTAACTGGTGACTAAAATATATCAATTCAATCGCAAAGAACATGGAAATATACCGTGAAAATTGCACTTTTTCTGTGTCGTATGTCGGTCTGGGTTTCCAAAAATGTAAAGTACGAAGTCGAACCGAATGCCGTCCCCGGAGGTGCAGTCGTAGGTGCAAAAGCATTATAATGCTTTAGACCAAACCAATTTTACAAAATTGGACCAATTCAGAATACAAGCCATTTACGACACTTCTTCAACTCTAGGAAATCATATTGACATTAAATTAAATTTACTAATCAAATACTAATTATATCTGACAATAGAAAAAGCATTTACCGAGGAAACCGAACAACCATACACTTGTCTTTTGTAGTTTGGCAAGACACACATTTAGCGAAGATGATATTTCAATGCCAAGTCAGCAACGAGTTTGCCAACGAGTCTGCCAACAGCAGTTTAGAACGAACTCATAACAATATTTGAACATATCCTTGACCATTATTTTTCCATTTCAATTAATTCAAGACAACGATCCTTACATTAGGAAGCGTTTTGCGAACACTACTGTTGGCGCGTCTTCTTTGAGCGTGTACATAAATAAAATATATCACTTACCTGCTCCAAACAATAGATTTCTCACGCCCTGAGACAATGTATGCAAATCCTGCAGCAAGTTCATTGTCATCCATTGTGATCTTGAAAAAAAAACATCATTTTGTGATGGTAATGATAGGAAAAATGTTTCCTTATTAAGAGAAGTTCTGTCTTCCTTCTTTGTACTGTAGAGTTTTTTCGTACTTTTTTCTTTCTCGCCCTTACTTTGTAAGAAGAGAAGTTATTCTAATCGTGCGCCGGAATGTAGCGAACTTTTGACAGAAAAACTCTTATTCTTCTGGTAACGAAAAGGGATACAAAAGGGATACAAAAACTTACTAAAATGTTTCTAAACATGACAAATTTCGTTGAAGAAAAAATTGCTATCATCATCATTGTAGTTTTAGGAAATATCTGAAGAAAATTCAAAATTTTGTAATTTTTTCAAACTCTGATTTAACATTGAAAATCGAACCTGTCATATTTATATGTGTATTTTACTCTACTCTTACAATAAATTCTTTAAAAAATTTCAAGTAAAGTACACTCAAAATTTAAAGAATTATTTTCAAAATCGCAGAACTTTTAGTCCTGCCGGGTCGAACAAAGAATAGAAATTTTGAAAAACATCCTACAAATAGTTTAGGTGCTACACGATGGTTAGACCGAGAGACGTACAGTCCGACGGACAGACAGAATGAACAGACAGGGCGGACAGATGGATAGGATGGCAGAACGGATAAGTAGGACGGACAGATGGACAGAAAGATGGACGGACAGACCGACAGTCCTTTTGAAAAATCCAGTTTTCTTTATCACGAGCCCTCAAACCGTGTAATTTCGTTGAAATCTCGAAAATGATTTTCCGCAGTATTTCCTACCTTTCTCTACATTAAAATATTTTTCTGTATATACGTATGCATACGAAAAAGTAAAAATAGGTTTTCTCAAAAATGACTTCAAATTTTTCTTTAAACATTTTGTAGAATAGTTCGACATGCATGATCAATGTGACATAAACTTACTTTGAAGTTTTTGTTTGTTTTTTTCAAAGATTTTAACACATCTTTTACGACGTAAATATCTTTGTTTGGGGTGTTTAAATACATTATTGTATTTCCAAGTACAACTGCTTCAATTTATGTCTTATGAAGGTTTTCGGCAATTCAAAACATTTTTGCGAACATGAGATCAAAATTGCACATTTTCAGAAATGGTGTAAACGAGATTTCCTCTAAAACGGGTCCATTTTTTGCCATGAAGATTTTCATATAGAACACCGAACGACGGCATATGGAGTCAGGTTTTACTCTTTTAAAATATTGAATTCCAAATAGAATTTCTATTCTCTTTTTAAACGTTCTATCTTCCGAAAATGGAGAAAACGTAAAAAAGTAGGTGTTTTTGATAAAACACAATTGCCCCAAGGTAAAAATTACATGAATGTAAAATAAAAATTCGATTTAACTGATATGTGCTGAAAATATTACGTGCTACATTTTCTGTAGAGTTAGCTAATTTTGAGAAAGTGTTGATAACTGAATGCGGTTGGTTGGTAGTTGATTCCAGGCGCATCAACAACTGAAGTCATTAGTCCCATAAGAGTAATGCATGTTTTTGCTCGAGAGGTGGCGGTGATAATGTGGCGAGCGGTGGCTGGATGGCGAGATCCGGCGCCGACCTACTGTCGGCCAGCGAGGTTTCCTCAACCAGATATCTCCCACCAGCGGGGCTACATGCCAGCCTGAACAAGCTCTAACCACCCGACCGGTCTTCTGGCATGGGTGGTAGTGTAGTGCATATTAGTGTGAGTGTAAGGAGTGAGGATAGGACAAGGAAGAGGAAGGAAAGATCGCGCGCGTCCCGTAGCCCATTTGTTAGGGTACTGCTCCGGCATCCGTCTGGTGTTGATTGGAGAAACCACCACACAAATCAGAGCAGCCGACCTCTAGAACTGTTCTCACACAGCGACTGAATTCGACCTAGCTGATAAGTTAGTGTCACAATCTTGTCACTGTCGGGACTTGAAGCTAGAACCTGCCGATCAGAGGCACTGCAGTGATATTAGTAGATGCACTGAGTCACCTCTCCCGGTGATTACTGAATACTTTGCTGGTAGAATTAAGTGATAAAATAACTTGTTTTTCTCTATTGATACAGAAACGAATGATTTCTGAATACTCAAGATACTTAGATTCAATATTACAAAGCACATTCATGCATAGAAAGGCCAGTTTTAGTTATAATATCGGTTTTATAAAATTATTATATTTGAAAACTGTAACATGTTTACAATTAGTATGATCAAGTGATTCGGCTACGTGTGACAGGAACATGGGATCAATGAGCCAAAGTACACGGTCACTCAGACCGTGGGTTTGAAACACAGGCCACACGTGAATGTTTTCAGCCGTGCATGAGGCCTGGGGAACATTCCAAAACGTGAACCAGAACAATTGCAGAAACACGGAGGTGGGGCAAAGAAATTCCGTGGGAAAATATGGAAAGGAACAGGACCGTGTAGGTCTATGCAATGTTCGAGGTGTGCGAAGATACTCTTCACCACCTCCAAGAGGAGCGGCAGGTACCGCAAAAGGCTCTGTAGACATCGGAGAGAATAAGAAAATAATAAGTACGAGAAATTCTAGGCCTTTCTGTAGAACCTGTTTAACTCTAAAATATTTTTTTATATAATCTGGGTCTTTGTATGTATGGTGTTGTGTGAAATACTGGAAAATACTCTAATTGCATATATTTGACATTTTGTGTTGATTGCCCGACTTTGACGGCTAACTAACGGTGTCCCCCATCCATAGGCCTAGTTTACGTCACACGCTTAAAGAGTAAGAGAGGCATATGGCAAACATGACGTATTCCCTTTCTCGTAATTAGCAAACGGGTCCCTTTGTTAGGGTACTGCTGAGAAATTGCCTGGAATTGATCAGAGAAACCGATCAGTGTAGCTGGCCGATAGAATAATAAAATTCTCCTCCAGTCAACTACATAAGAATTAATTTGAAGCTTTTGCATTCCCTAGAGCAATTAATTATCAAAAAGGGCCTCTAATATAAAAACTAACTATGTACATCTCTCAAAATTGTAATATTTTAATAATCAAAAAGTTATATCAAAATAACGTTGCAGTCTTATTATTCAGTGCATATTGCCAAGACGTTTAAAAATTGTAAAGAAAAATGTGGGGCTGCTTTGAGAACATATTGTTTTAAAATTAGCGGTCTCTTACGAGCATCGATGTCAGCCATTTTTCAAACGACTGCTGTTCTGCCACATGTTGACGCACAAAGTTAGTACTGCGGTGAATTGTAGTACTAGATGGTTTGAGTAATAATGAAAAATTCGAATTTTCCACTTAACTAATTTTATTTAAGCAGAAAAAATAGGAAGTATTGCTGTCTAACTGTCCCTTGCAGTACGAACAAAACGCCATTTTAAAAAACAGGGCCATCGGTGAGTAACGTATCGATATTTTATCGCACCTTTTATTGCTCATGATCAGACTATTGTCTGGTCATTAGCAATAAAAGGTGCGATAAAGTCTGAGCTCAAATACTAGCAGGACGCATTAAAACGTTGACAATTCGCGACTCGGGAGAAGCCTCCGAAGAACTTTGCAAACAAAAAACAATGTTTGGAGTTTTCAATACCAAGGAGCAGATATTACCATTTTTACTTGATACAGAATTGCGTTTTACCTGGTATTCTTTTGATGACCTTTGATCCTTCCTGAAACTTGCCTCATTAACGAAAGTTGCTGAAAGCTTCCTCCATTTCGCAGTGCTGGTGCTTCGACAAGATGGCAGCCGCGCGGCGCCCAACGAATTGGGTCGTATTGTGGTGAAGCTGCCGCTGCCTCCCGGAACCATGGCGACGCTCTACAAGGCCCCCGAACGCTTCGAGGAAGTGTATTTCTCTCGTTTCCCGGTGAGTGGCTTACTCTTTGCAGAAGGAAAACTGAAAGATGAAATATTAAATTAAAAACACATGATAACAACAATATTTCCAACCCAAAACAAGAGAGAAGGCCAACAAATTTCTCTGTCTCACTGGGCTCCCTTTTCCATTAATTATTTTTAATCATTAGTTAATAATAATAATAATAATAATAATAATAATACGTACAACAAATAGAATGGAATTGTAACTTGAATGCTACAACTAACAAATATAATTGATTCTTTCTTGAACCATTTACAGGTTGCCATTTGTTTTGTATAAATTTTCACTCTCAACTGTGAATCAGTATACCAGCATAAAAAGACAAAATGAGTATTTGATCATATTTACGTAAAAAAATGTTTAATACTTAGGCTAGAGGGATCATTTCAAAATTTTCAGTACACACCTATACATTAGAAGGATGATATCGTAGGCTTCGGAGGCCAGAGTCATGATCTGGGCTGTCCGGGTGATGCAGCGTTGAAGGCTGAGATGCCGACGTCTTCAGGGCTGTACTGCGAAATACAGCAACTTCCTATTTCTAATCCTAGTAAGATCATGAATAGTTTTTCGAAAATTTGAGTGTGTTTGCGCAACTTTGCGTGAAATATAGGTCATTTTTAATTTTGTTTAAACAATTTTTGTCACAAACAGCACCAACAATTTTGCTTAAATTTTAACATCGAATAACGTACAAAACCCTTCAGAGAATTGGTGCAGGTCTCGTAATGATTAAAATTAATCAGTTTTAAAAATTGCAAAAATTCAAAATATAGTTCGACGTTATTCCTACAACTACAATTATGAAGACAAACTGTTTTTCTTACTGATAGGTGTTCATCAAAAACATATTTAAATAATATCATGCTCAATTTTTTGAAAATATTAGTATTTGTTGCGAATTTGTGACAAACATACGCAGTTTTTATTTTCTTTAAACTATACTTTCTTAAGAAAAAGCACACACTTTTCTCATTAAATTTCGACTTTAGTTAGCGTAAAAGACAACATAATGGTGCAGGTAGTTTGAGAATGTTTATGGGAAAGTCCGATTTTTCAGCGTCTTCCTACAACTAAAATATTGAAGATAGAAATTTTTCTCTTAATAAAATTGTTTCCTCAAAGATAGATTTTCAAGTAGTCATGCACATTTTTCAAAAATTTGAATATTTTTCAATTAATTTTGTGTGAAATATATGCAATTTTTACTTTCTCTTGTACGGAAACTATACGTAATATAGAGAAAGTTGTGTAATGCTGTGGAAAATCGATATCAATATTTCAACGGAATTACACTTTTTAGGGTCCCTTAATAACGAAAAAGTGTTGGTTTTTGTTCAAAACATCCGTGTTTTTGTTCGTCTGTGTGTCCGTCTGGGAATACCAATAGCGCCTAAACGTTGCAATTGTGAAAAACTTCCTTTAAAATTTTGGGGGTACTTTACATTAAACCCCACGGGTATTTTGAAAATTTACTCAAAAATGGCACCAAATGTTTTTCTTTGCATTTTTTGAAAGAATGGAGTAATACATATGTAATGTATATAGAATAAAATGCATTATTAAGGTGTATAGATCCAATTCTCACTGCCAACTCTAACTTTTTGAAAAATGAAAAAGTATGAATTTTGTGCAGCGTCTTCCTACAACTACAAAATTGTAGACAGCGATTTTTCCTTCAAATCAAATTTGTTCTCCATAGTTCTTTCAAGAAGGTCATGCACATTTTTTTTTAAAAGTTTAGTAGTTTTAAGGCATTATTGCGTGCAATTTTTGCAATATTAAAATGTAACAAAAACAAAATTTTCTCAGAAACAGCTCCAATCTTTTTCTTTAAACTTCTGGTTGTAATTATGATAAATGTAGTCTATAAGACTAAATAAACGCCATATTGCTATATTCCTTCGTGTTTTTTAAAAATTATAAAAATATAATTTTCTTACTTCTCTCAAGTCGGTAATATTTGCATTAGCGGCAATTTCTTTACATTCTTATATTTATGAGTGCATATGGTTTAAATAATGTCCTATAAAGTTTCTCAGAAACTCAACAGTTGTCTAAGAAAATGTGATCAAATTTCTTAATTTTTAAAAACTCGCAAACACTTTTTTCTTAAAAATTGCAACATTTATTCCCTTAAATTTTTTTCCAGCGGATAGTGCTAACTTGCATTGTTTAATACAAAATAAAGTTCATTTTGGGGTGTTATTTTGTTTTTAAAAAAATAGACAAATGTAATTTCTGTTAGATATATCTAAATCCTTTAGAACGCAAATTTCCCTCGATTTGTATGCAATATTGGATTTGTGAGTAGAAGTGCTTGGAATGACTTCAAATGAAGTTTTTCGAAAAATCAAAAATGTTCTGTGAAAAAATGTTAAATTTTCGCATTTACATATTACAACTTTTTAAGGAAACGCTTAAACGCCATTTTCTTAGAAACGGCCCCAAATATTTCTGTTTCTGCAACTCTTCGAAGCAAAAATAAGAGCTTCTTTCAGCTGTTGAATTTGGATTCTCTTAATTTTTAAATAATAAATGTAAGTCATTTAGTGCTGACAATTATCAATTCATTGTAATTGACAATATATTGTTGCAATATAATATATAATACAAAATAAAGGTATATTTACAGTATTTGGGATATTTGAAGTATTTTAAATACATATGTATTTAGCACATCGAGTCCTAATGTGTTTGGTGTATGTATTTAAATACTTATTTATAAAGTATTTTCGCAAAGTATTAAATAATAAATTTAAAGTATTTTCCCCAACCCTGATAATGAGTTATACAAAAATGATGACAAAGATCAGTTATTTTGGAGAGAAATTGTGGTAAAAATAGAATTACAGATATATTTCTTAATGCGAAAAAGTACCTGTTGTTGTATCACTACTATTTTAAATAAAATAAAAAGCTTTCGTTACTTAAAAATATTATTTTAAGACCTTCAGTATGGATTGCCAATTGGAATCTGTTATGTTAATTTGAAATAAGCTGCTTTAGGAGCACGTGGATTGGTGTAATCGAACGTGGGGTGGAGTAATCCTCCTTAAATCATGTCAGTTATTGTCAGTCTTTGGTTTTTATCCCTTCGGTCAGGGTCTCGGCGCCGTTAAATCCCCGGGGTTCCCAGACGATCAACCATCAATCTTTCGAATTTCTTAACCACCGTGACTTCACGAAGCGTACTTAATCAATTCGGCTAGCAACGTCGAATGTTACCAAGCGCAGTAGTATTCACGATTATTGGCAAGCGAAATTATAACATTTCTTTTACATACAGAAAACCCTAAGACGGAACCTCTGTAAGGCAGAAACCTGCCATCCCGGACAAGAAATCTCAGATAAGGCATCTATAAGCCGAAAAACTGCCTAACGCGGAAACGGATGGCTTTTAAAGAATGAAAAGTTATTATCACCTGGCTAAGAAGGAAATTTATTTTTAAATTTCCCTCAGTCTTTGGATTGGCGTAGTGTGAACGGTCACGTCCTGAAAGAAATAGAGTGAACGACGAGTTTTTTGTGTTACGCCTACTGTCGAGGAATCTTCATCGTACTTAAATCATATCGTGAATTTTTGGCAACCTCTACAAGATGGAAACCAGCCAAGACGGAATTGTTTCGAAGGAACCGTGATGTTCCGGCTTAGACTGGTTTTACTGTACTTACCAGTTGAATTTGGCGTCGCCGACGCTGTAAACTGTTTAAAAGTATTTTCATGGGTTGAACATTTCTAAATGTCACTTGTAGCTTTGTTCAAATCAGTTCTTACAGTAACTTGCATTGGGCATACCAAGATTCGGAGAATCTGATAATGTTATACTCCCGTTCAAAAATTCCCAACACCCAATGGCCTTGTATGATACCACCGTGTGGGATATGAACTGATAATATTGCGATTGTTATTGCTGAAAAACATTTCTATTACGGATGATTCCAATATTTAGAATCTAGTATAGCTACATTTTGTACGCTTATTTCGCTAATTTCACAAAAGGTACATAAAATATCACCTGTAAGCTGTTCATGATTATTATCTAACCCAAATATAAGATCATTCTCGATTAGATCCAAACATTCTGCCGAACAATCTTATACAACTTTCCTTGATTCTACTCCGAATTTGCATATCACTTCCATATTTATGTCCCCTAATTTTTGAAGAGTTTGAAACTCCACAAACGTAGTCTAATTTCTGTTTACTTATACTTTTCAATTGCTCTTTTATTCATTTTGTAGGCGAATTTATATGATCATTAAAGGGCGACTGTTTTGTAGGTTTATGTGAATAAGATGTTAGTTAAGTGTAAAAAGAGCAAGTGGTTAGTTACAGTCAAAGAAGGTTTTTCCACGCTTAAGAACGTAAACGTGAGAAGTCGAACGTATGAACGTAAATGTGCTTTCATTCTCTACGTTACTCACTGTTCTGGTTTCTCCGTATTCACTTGACGTTCTTCAAATTTAATCAGTTTCAAGGTAATACAGTGCGCAGGTTTTTGCAAATGTATTATTAAAAACGGTAACACCGATGAAACACTTCAAGGCATTATCACTATTCAGCGTTCAGTCACGCGATTCACATGTTGCACTTAGTGATGGCAACAATCAGTGTTGCTATCCTCGAGGAAGAACGGTATGGTGTCATGGAGCAAAACTTGCCTCTGGGTCCTGGGGTTTAATCTAAGTCACCTACATAGATCTCATACTCACTAAGACTGCAGCTCTACAACACACAAAACACGTTTTTGAAAATTTCTTAGAATGTTCTTAACGGATCTGAAAACAAATTATCAGTTCTCGCACTTTTGCACTGTCCCTGTAAGTCCTCGACAAACTCTCCGTAGCTTTGCCTGTCACTGTAAATGAAAGGATGAGTCAGAGATAACTTGCGCACAGTGCGTACATGTCAGCACACGCATTTAATGTACCTTTGACATATTGCACATGCATCGTGACATGCATAGATAACGGCTGACTAT